ACTCCAACCAAATAGCAGCCAATTCTGATGAGCAGATTTTTGAGCCATTAAGACTCCATTTATGGACCAACAGTGTGCTTGGAGGTTACAGGTCCCATACACTCGGCTGTTCTTACTCTGGTTATCTCTCTGAGAACCAAGGAGGTTATAGTACTGCAAGGGCAAGTGTCTCAAAAGTGTTATCAGTTTGCTCAGATAGTAGCATCTTGAACAGTCTCTCACAAGGACACAAATATTATTTCCTGTTCTCCATGGATAGCCTTAGGCCTCACTAAAGGCAAAAGTCAACGTAGTCAACCTAGTCATTCGTGCTTGAATACATCCCACTCATGAGTAGCAGATTAATCTTGTTCAGTCATCATGTTATGTACATCAACCCTCATGGTCTCCAGTTTTAAGTGCTGACTTCCTCCAGTGTCTCCTCCAATCTCATGTGTACTTCCACTGGACCTGACCAGTTCATTCTCTCTACATTTGTCTCCACGAAGTATAAAATCATAAAGTCCCTGGAGTTGAGGGCAAATGATCAGGATTCTATTCTTATCTGTAGCAGTATAATTTGGGCAACTCATTCACTCTCCCTCAGTAAATTTTCTCTTCAATAAGGTTGGAAAAATTATTTTTCAAAAAAATCCTCTTCATTATATGACTATGAGAACTAAATACAAGTATCTACACAGAATGCCCATCTAAGTGCTTAATAAATGTAAAAATCATCATAAATTTGTTTGCATCTAATACCCCCACTTTCAGTGTATCCCTCTCCTTACTATATATATTTAAGTCTTAACTCTCCTCAATACCCTTGTAAATGCCTACATGAGCCATTAATTAGGTGGGTTGGTAGTCCCCACAAAATCTATTTTTATTTTCTAGTGGATACTTAACATAGTGGGCTTTTGATCATGCAATCATTCTCTAGATACTTGCTATGTGCCTACTATGGGTCTGCAAAGAGTTTCATTATATTTTTCGGCTTTTAAGATAGCAGATTATGAAGTGAATAGCCAGTTTCTGTAATCAGAGTGTAAGACTCAATGTGACAGAAATCATATCTTATAGTTTTTGTGTAACTATAGAGACTGAAGTCTAGATGCTGGGGTATAGATTTGTTGATAAGATGCAGTTGCTGGAAGTGTTTTCTGTCTGGAAAATTTTGTCTGTGTATACAACAGGACTTCAAGATATGACTACTCTGCTATCATCAGGAAATTCACAAATGCTCCCAGAACCCTGACTATATTTACAGAAAACCTCTAGTGACTCTAGTACAACTATTTTTCCATATGTCTTCTTCTTCTTACTTCACTGATGCTATTATGGATATAGTATGAAGCCACAGGGGTGGTCATCTAGGTAGCTCGTGGCATTAATTCTGTAATAACATAATGAATAAGTTCACATTCTATACTAATATTATTTTTTTTTTTGGTGTGGCCTTTTCATTCTTTGGGGAAAAAAGTGAAATGGAGGAAAGCGAGGCTTAAATTTAATGTATGTACCCCTTCAACGAGTCACACATATAATGAGTACAGAAAATCCTGCTAGAACTATCAAATTGCAGGAAGATTTTATTATCCACTAATAGTACTGAATTGAAATTTTAAAATATCTTAACAAAAATGACAGTCCTTCAATCTCTGTTTCTTCTGAGACAATGAAGGGCTTAAAGAATTGGGATTCCCATTTAATCCTTGAAATATTTTTGAGAATTTTGCTCACTGTTTTTGAGATAGTTCTCTTTAAGAAAATTGAATTCTTTAAGAATTTTTTTATTAGACTTACTAGTTTAGGCTCCAGTCATGCTAACTATTGCTCCTCTACAAGCCTCAAACTTTATAAAACCTAGTTTGTAGGATTTAATGTAAAAATGTACATGGGACAAGGGGAAAATATCCAGTATAATGAATAATTGTAGTTAATGCTATTTTAAGTAAGAGATGATATCAGCTGAGAAGTATGTCCTGAGAAAAATTATTTCCATCATGAAAGGGAAAATGTATTATATATTATATCTAAGTATGTTCAGAAAATGCTAGAAATCAATTAAACACACACACACACACACACACACACACACTGTCCTCACACATTTGTCATTATGACTTAAATAGTTTGAACTTCATGTAAAACTAGTTTCTATGAAAATCTAAACCTTCTGAAGTCACTTATCTCTAAGTACTTGAACTGCCTTTCATTGAGAAAAGCATTATGTTGGGAAATAAATCATGGCCAATGTTTACCTAACAGTGTCATAATTATGTATGCATCTAAGTTAGAGAAGCACTTTATATACCAATAATATGTTAGTAAAGAAGAAAAATTAAAATTATAAAAAAATATTTTACCTCCCCCAAACTTTTAGCTGACTTTTATGTCCTCAACTGACATTTTTGTTGAATTTCTCCAAAGTCATAGTGCCATTTAATATATGCATTTCTGTGTATTTGCCTTGAAGTAACACAAATTGGTATAAATTGAAAAGGTATATTCTAAACACAAAACTCACAAGAACCCATCTGAGAAATTCTCATCCCTGCCTCCTTCCATCAAATAAATGAAAATATTTCAAATCAATATGTCTAAAGTAATATGGTTCCCATTAACTATCACATGTCAATTGCCTTGATGAGAGAACACTTAAAATTTTCAGAGAATCCAAAGGACACCCTCCAACCAAAGACAAAGCAATGAAAAAAGCAACAACAAAAATCCCAAGACACCTGGGCCTTGGATAGCATGTTGTGAATGCTCCATTCCTATCTTCAATTCTACTTTCAATTCCATGGCAATAGAATTTTAAAATCCAACATACAAGTCTCTGCAAAATGCTATTTTCTCTTCACTAAAACCGCAAAAATGATTCAGGTCCTGAAAAATGTGACTTGTTACTACTTGATAAAGAACATTTAATTTATCCTCTTTTCTTATTAAGAGGTATCAATTATCCCTGAATCACCTCCACCATTACCCTTGTCCCCTAATAACCAATCAGATAAAAGATGATCAGAAGTATGGTCAGAATAAGAGTTGACAGTTACCGATTGAACAATGATAGGCTAGACTCTTCAGAAAATACTTGAAAGACCATGACACGTAGCCTTCTGTCTCTTTTGTTTAGGGATGATTTGACTCATAGAAGGGTGGGTAAAGATGGAAATGCAAGAGCAAGGAACTAGGCCAAGACTGAGCCCTGGCATTTCTGCTGGAGCTATCACATATTCAAGAGATTCTTTTCACTCTTCCTGAACTTATAAACATGTGGGATCTATTTTAAAATGGCCACTTAAAAAAAAAAAAAAAAAGCAAACAAACAAAACATGCTGGCATTATTTTGGAAGTAAAAGGGGCTAATATTACAATGTTTGTTATTCAGATATTCAAAGTTTTAAAGGACAGATTATAACCTCTAGTGTTACTTGGAAACTTGCAGGAAATATTAGAGAAGAATTGGCTGATAAAAGTTTCCAAACTCATGAAAACAGTCTATAGATCCAATATGAGCAGTTGAAATGTGGTTAGCCTACAGGGAAAAGTAAGTTTTCAAAGTTTTAATTTTATTTAAATTTAATTAATTGAAATTGAAAAGTGAATAGCTACCATACTGAACAAAGCAGCTTTAGAGGTACTGGAGTTTAGCAAGAGTCTTTATACAAAGGCTTAATATTCTCAAAAACTATTCTACAAACATGTTTATATATATTCATGACTGTGATTACAAAGAGTGTATATTATAGATAAATCTATCCACCAGGTGAAACTGTATCAAACAATCTATTTAATCTGTAGACTTTTTCATGTTTCCTTAAGGCCTTATAGAGAAAGAGAAAGAAAAAAAAATTAAAAGGAGGTAGTTTTTTTTTTTTTTTTTTTCCCAATCAGCACTTCCCTACATTATGGTATCTGAAAGCCATAGGAAAAACCAGAATGGAGAATAGAAAACATCAATAGCCATACAACAACAAAAACGAGCAGAAGTATTTGATGGAGTGGGAAGATGTGAAGGATTAAGAGATATAACCTTTAACTTCCACTACTGTTCAAAATACGAGGCACACGTGTCAACAACCAGATAGAGTGGAAAAACTGATAAATTTTAAAATGTGTTTTGCCAGTAAAATAGAATGTAACCCCAGGACTCAATAATTCTGAAGCTTTAAGAGCCCTTAAACATTATCCACTTCAAACAGTCCGGCATATATTAAAGTATTTTGAAGCCCAGAGAAGTGAAGTGCTCAGTGTCCCTGACATAATAGCCAAGTGTGGTCCCAGGTCTCCAAGTTTCAAAGCAAATTAAAACTCATTATTATGCTTTTGATGACTCGGTGGGACAACAATAATCTACTAAGATGAAATCAAGTGATTATCTTAAGAAGAAAAAGCAAACTATCATCTTCATTTTAGAGATAAAACTTAGATATCACCGAGCTCGAAACTCTCATTTTGCAGGGGAAAAAAAAAAAAAAAAACTGAGATGGCAGATTTTAAATGACAAGTGCCAAGTCACACAACTGGTAGGTAGAATTGAAATTTAGAGACAGGATTTCTGTCTCCAGGTTCAGGGGGTTTTATTACTCTGGAAACCACGATAAGATAGATGTCAACAAATCAGAAAAGGGGAAATAGGACCATTACTCTGTACATGTCATGGTTTCTTAAAAGTCTTTTACTTTCAATTTGAGTTACATTTGAACATAAAATTTCCCATGGATTTGTATGTAATTTCAAGGAGTATTGATAGAAAGAAGAGAATTATGTTTCAAGAGCTATGTAAAAGATCAGGAAGTAAATTCACTTTATTGCCTGAATTTTACAAACTTTTCTTGGATCGCAGATCATCTTCTACAGATAAATGCCACACTACTACTGATAAGAGCAAAAGATAAAGAACACTGCACATTTTAAATGTCATGTACTTTGAATTTAATACTGTGCTCTTATAAATGAACCCATAAGAGAAAAAAAAGAAAATGCTAAATAAATACAGTGATGAGGCTTACATTCTGGTGCTGCTGGTCTTGTTGATAATGACAGATTTTCCTGTTTGATCCACATTATGATCCAATCCAAAGTAAGCTGCCACCCGATGGACAAGCATCCTCTGATACGATGACATCTGAGGGAACTTTTTATAATGATTACTGAAACAGAGTTACAAGAAAAAGCGAAATCAGCATTTTCATTTCTTGTCCACAGCACATTTTACAGGTAGACACACAAAACTCTTTCTCTTTCATCCAAACCACTAAGCCTTTTGCTTTCATTTCTGGCATTACTTAGTGTCCCCATTTCGAGGCAAGATTTCCACTTATTATAGACGTATTGATTAAGCTACAATATGTATTATTGTTTCATAGTTGCACATTTCTCCTGCCAAAGAGAACTTAATATCTGTTGGAAAGTGTTCTATTTTTGTCCATGATACCTTATCAACAGAGCCAGGCAGAGGACAAATGATATGACATAATACGTGACTGCAGATGCCTATCTGGAGATGTGTCATTACCCAGTTTACACTGAAAGCAGCACAATTATTTCCAGGCATAACTGACTGCAGCCAGCTGGAGCCCATTAAAAAACTATAATAAAAATGAAAAGGGTCGCTTCGTGGTACAGCTATTCTATGCTAATCGGTGGCCCCCTGTTTAATAGCCATTTTGTCAGGAATTTAACAAGCAGGAGCACGCATGGCCCAAGCAACAATCCCCATCAGCATACGACTGACTCCCAACTCCAATAACATCTCCATTTAACAAATCAAGAAACATATTAAGCAATGTTTTATGCCTAAATCTGTCCAAAATGAGTAATTTAATCCAAATATCAAACTAAGACCCATCATCTCATCAGCCAGCACTGCCATTTAACATACTTGTTGTCACCAATGAAATCAATAATTTCCTGCTCCATTTTCAAGAGTATCATCCTGTCCCTGCAAAAAAAAAAAAAGAAAACAAAATGTTAGAATTAAAGTTTTTATGTAATTTCCATATCTCAAGGACATAAATAGTTAATTAAATGCATGGAGAATATTATTTAAATGAATGTGGTTACAAAACTACATCTCACTTTTCTTTAGAACATGCTGACCATTCACTTACATATTATTTCATTTTGCTCCAGATAATTTTTTCTCATTTATTAAATGTTTATGTTGGCATTCAAACCATGAGGACCATAAAATATAACAAATAAAAAATGTTTTAAATTCACAGGAAACCGAAATAAAGTAAAGCCCAGATATTGGATTTAGATAGGTTTAAAACTGGATTGAAACCTAATTGGTTTACTTAATATCAATAATTTTATTCTCTATTTTTCCCTCTTCATCAGTTATTTCTTTGTGACCAGGAAAATAAAAGCTGATAAACTATCATTTATTCATTAAAGTAATGACCCAGGAGTTATAATATATCTATCAATAATAAACATGCAAATTTGAAACAAGTAAAAAGAAATGCAGGAGATAGTTTAAGCCATCAGGAAAGGCATCTGCATTGTACAACTGTCTTAGAAATATCTGGATAAATAACTCTAACATTTTATTTGAACCTTCCAGTAATAAAGAGGCTTGTTTAATAATTTACCTGGAATTATTCTTTAGAGTGTTAATCAGAAACTCATGTAAGTCTATGCCTGTAGAATCCGTGTATTCTTGGCTGCAGTCTGAAACAAACAGAAGGGTGGAGTTGTAAGAAATGGCGGGAAGATGGGATAGAAAATATTCACCCAGCCCGCCTCCTTTCCCTCCAGCTCAGGTACATTCTAGATGAAGCTATTGTTATGAAAAAATATGTTGCATAGCTAGCAACCTGGCAGTGTGACATCAAAATGAAAATAAGGCTTGGGGATTGAAAAGATCTTGACTGTGGAAAGACCCAAATATGGAAGGGGAAGTGGGCACAGTCTGGTGTTGGGAGGGGTAGAGCCAGCTATCACATGTTCACCCTGTGTTGCAAATCAGCCAGGCACAGCCTCCACATCACAGAAAATCCCAACCTCCAGAGAAGGCTCTAGAGCTTGAGATCTTACAGAAAGAACCCTTTGTCTCTTAGAAAGAAGGAGGTGAAGAAAAAAATGAAAGTTCTGTTACAAGACCTCCTAAATATTAATCAGTACAAAACACAGGCGGGCACTAAACATTCCCAAGTCTTTCAGCTCTCCTGATGCTAGATAAAACTTACTTTCCATAACCACTTTAAAAAGATGAGCTTTTTGACTCTTGTGTACACCTCGAGTTTTAGGCATAGAGCAGCAGAGACAAGTGTTATAAGCCAAAATGTTGTTTGATATTAGGAGTGGTTATCATTCCTCAGCAGATCACATGCCCAATTCTTTCTCAGTTATCTTTAAAAAGTCTACTGAAAGGTTATTTATGCGTGGCATTCTTCATTTCAACTAAACTTAGGTTTATTTTGTACAGTGATATGTATGGCAATATTCAAAAGGCTGTAGCTTTAGAAGGAATTACTTTTTGGGGTATTTTTTTGGGGGGGAGTGGGAAAGGTAGAATGTGTATTAAAGTAGCATGTGTATTTTTAAAAATGAAACATTGTGTGACAGTGTATGGGTGCAGAGACCAAAATCAGGTAAGATGTGAATCAGGTAATCCACGGACATACAATTCTGTACTTGCTTGGGAGACTACCTCACTGACTGACAGAATCTGGTTGCCATTTGCCTTTTAAGATAAACATGAGGGTTAAGATAGAAAACTGGGTATCATTGCTGTTCACCACTCCAAGTTAACTGGTCTAATCAATCTGAATTTAAGAGCACATTTATATTTACTCCTTTGTACAGCTTGCAATTGAAAACAGGAGATTCACATGTGAATACAAAAAAAATTATGTGATCCAAAAATATCCTAACTACACAGATGATAGACTATGAACAGAAATGAAATCAAGTTCACATCTTTTACACGCACACATACGTACACATATAAAATCATATGCAGAGCCTGTCAGGTGGTGAATATGCATGTGCTCTCTAGAACAACTTCTAGAACTACATATGTGCCCAAATTGAGGAAATTAAGGAAACATTTTCACATTCACCTTTTGATAACATTCTGATCTTGGGTTTTTCAGAGGTTTTATCTTTGTTTTTATCCTTTTCTTTTTCTCTCTCAGAGTCATCTTTCCTAGATTTATCCTCCTCTTGCAGGCTGGGAAAACTGGAAAGCTGTAAATGAATTGATTCCTGTTGGGGAGAAAATATAATAATTTAGGGCCAGATTTAATAATCTCTGTCTGGTTTCCATTTTGCATAGAGGTTATTAAGTACAGAAAAATGAAAGCCAGGTGCAGACTTTTTTTTTCTTAAATGGTAAAAATTAATCCTGTCAGAAAAATAATTGCCCTTTAAGGTGAATTGAACTTTAGAAGTCAAGGGGAGGTCATGAGAAACATCTAGTACTGAAACTTTGCCTCATGAATATTAACCTTAACTAAGTTAAATTCCTGTAGATCACAACTCTTATTTTTTCTACAGGCTTATTTTTAACTCCCTAGGAAAAATTCCTTCATCCATCAGCTTGCATCAGAGCCACTGTCATGTATTAAAAAAAAAAAAAAAAAAAGGTTTCCGTAGTTCTTTTGTAACTCCTTATAAGGAGAAATTGGCACAAACATAGACAGACAGATTTTACGAATTGTTATTACAGATAGAACAGACATAAAGAAAGCCCTCAATAGCCAATTTATAATAAACTCCTACTTTACAATTTACAATACTCCTACTTTTAAATTTATAATTTACTCCTACTCTGATAAATCAAGCTTTATGACACCAGGCATCCCAGGTATGGATTATCATGATTGTTTATAAATGCCATCAATAAGTCATTATGATATATATTTACAAGAAGCATTGCCTTTTAGAAAATGTAGCCAGTAGAATTACATTTTTTCATAAATTGTATATAAATACTTAATTTTTTTTTCATTTTAGTATCAACTAATCCTTTCCAAAATATAAATAGATTCTCTCGAACCCTCTCTTGCTTCATATAAAATTGACCCTTTACAGCTTGGGAGCTGGATCTTCTCTCTAGTATTTATTTTGTGCTGAAAAACAGGTCATTTTGCATTAATTCCCAAACACTAGTGGTTTGTCTGATAGTATGTTCACTGTTTTGAAGAAGAATGAGCCAGATCACGTTTATTAGTTTTTTAGAAAAAAGTTATGTCATAATTAAAATTATGACAAAGCAGCCAACACCAAGCCCATTTGTTCTTATGTAAGAGATCACATGGTGGGAAGCTTTCTTCCCAGGAGTGACATTAAAATTTATGATGTAGGGGGAAAATGTATTCCCAGTGACTAATAGTGTCTCATGGAAAAGCAAGCTAATGCTCACTTTACATGTGACTAAATCGATGCCGGCACCTCCTCAAACTGTGACCAATCTGGTATTCATAATGGTTCTTGGCAAATCTGGCTAACCTAACAGGCATAAAACAAAAGTCCTCTGAAGCCAAATCTCTTTTGTTGGGAGGGGTTCCATTGTGAACGCCTGGCTAGAACAAAGTCACCATGCTTGGAAAAACAAACAAACAAAAAACGTAGAGGAGGAAATAAAACATGCTCTCCTGATAAATATTTATCTCATCTGTTTTTTTTTTTTTTCTTTGATTGCCACATGTTTATCCTGGGGAATTGGATGTACATGAAATATGTAAAATGAAATGTAATTTGATTATAGTACCTTTCACAACACCATTTTGGGAAAAAATGTCTTAATTGACAAAGGTTTAAGCACGCTACAGGGTAATGATTTGCTTCTACTTGTTCAGGCAAACACTGGGACACTTCTGGCTAAGGCATGACTGCGGGCTGTGACGGGGAAGAATCGATTTGCCAGTTGATTAAGGGGGGGAAACTGTGGATTGGGCACCCTGATCATGAAAATGGTCTCATTACTTCTTCAAAACCAACTGAAACATTTAGCCTCTGTAAGCTTGAATCTACAATCAAAGAGGCTTGGAAATACAATTTAAATGCAAGAGCAGAGGCACAGAAAAACTTTCACTACAAAAAAAAATATGTACAAACTGATACCATGTGTTGACAAATACTACACTCAGAAAAAAAACTACTTTTCTATACATAAATACGCATTATGGTGTTGAAAGAACACACAAAAGTGCTTTAGAGTTGGTAAAAAACAATCTGTTATTTTTTAATATTTTTATTGATATACTCAATAATAAAATACAAGTGTTAATAAATACATTGGTACAGGATAAGTTTATATCCAACAACAGTAAAAGAATGATTCAAGTTGCAGTAATACACTGATAGGTAAATAGTATAACATTAGAAAAGCAAACTTCCTTTAACTTAAGGACAGACTGAACCATCAGGTATGGGTCTGAGATCAAGTAATACAGGTAGCAAGAGAGTCTTTTCCACACAGGAAAATGAAGGCAGTTTTCCAAATACTGTGAATATACAAACATTGGGGAAGCGATACAATCCATATACTGTATACTTCTGCCACTGTTCTCTGGGTTCAGTCCACACATTTTGCTAGTGCCGGTGAGATCTAATGAAGGCATTGCATATAAACTCAAAGATCTGCTTCTTTAGTCTCTAAAAAGGTAGCAGGGCCACTTGCTTATGTGTGTGTCTGGGTATTTTCTATCAGCCCCCTGTTCCCACCACTCCCAGCTAGTTAAAGAAAAGCTTGCAGGCTCTAATTCTCTCCTACAAGCTACTCTTTGTTTTCTGAGCTTGGAACCAGCAGGAACAAAGCACCGTTTGCATCTGATTTCTCTGCACCAATCATACGGAGAAACTAGATTTAGGTCCAGGTTGGACACTATGATACAAGATGATGTCTTAAAAAAAATGTCTTCCTGTGCTTTGTCCAATGGGACTAAAAGCAGATTGAGTCTATAGAGGCTGTCCTCCTCTGCCTGGCACTAGGAGTGGGAGACAACTGGAGCATTACTTCTGCTAGGGTCTGTCATTCCGCAGAGTTAACACATGTCATGTGCAGTACATTATAAGCCATCAATCAACATTTAATAATACAAGCCATGATATTCACATTGTTCCCCCCTTTCAAATCTCCATTAAAAATAGAAGCACAAATAAAATGCTGAAGAAAAGCCACACATTTCTCAGAGCCCAAGTTAAATAAAGCAGATGTAGGAAACATAGTAATGGCCACTGAATGATAGCCTGTTCATGCCTTGTGACATGAGTGGCAGGTTAAGAAAATGAGGCTAGAAAAAAAAAAAAAAAACTCTTAGGACAAAAGTCTATAAGGAATTTATTTTTGGTCCTTTTAAAGAAAGTGCTCTCAATGCTCTCTATGTCCATGAAGAGAATTTAGAGTATTTCAATTAAAATGAAGAGAGAAAAGCAAAACAAAACCAAACAAAAATAATGACATCTTAATCAATTTTCCCTCCCCTGGGCTCAGATAAATCATTTTAACTTTTGTCCTGACTGCTCTCAGCCTCTTAAAAAATAAGCGAAATTTCAGCAGCAAGACTATTTTTATAAAAGCTAATGTGCTGCCTAAAGGCAAACAAAAATAAATATGATGTGAACTTTTTCATTTTGTCATACAAGAGTTTTGTTGAAATTTAAATTTTTGGAGCCAAATAATCTTGCCGTAAGGAGCAAAACTAAAGGTAAGGAGATGCAGCGAAATGTTAATAATGTTAACTTAAATTCACCATCAGCTCAGATTCGTTTCTGGATAATTTTTGCAGTATTGAGCAATCTCCACCAAAGCCCGTAAAGTATGTCTTCAAAGTTCAATGCATCTTAGTCATTATTTCACAAGTGTCATACGAGCCAACGGTTGTGTTTCTTATAGGCAAGTGCTTTTTGGGGAGATGAGAGGTAAGACATCTCCAACAAGGAAGGAGACAGGGTACTTAGGGCTATATTTGGTTCAGCCTTATCAAGAGAGAGCCTTGGAGGAAATTCAGCACTACTGTGCTTACTTTTTTTATTTAAGTTTTAATCTAAATTCTTTTGAATTCCTTTCCATTTGCAGTTTTCAGAGAGTCTGGAAAAAAACAAACGTAATACTCTGTGATAAGCTTTTAAACTATTTTAAAATGTCTCATAAACAGGTGTTGAAGCAAGAAAAGTATTTCTTTCTTCAGGTGTACTCTTCTCCCCCAAAAAACTGTTTAATGCCAAATTCATCATCATGCACACAGAGACAGGTCTAGCTCATGCAATTCAAGATAGTGACAGGGATTATACCTGATCCTGAAGGCTTTCAGCTCCTGGTCTGGCTGTTGACTCCTCACAGACGGCTAGACTTCGAGTCAGTTTACCTTTTCCTGCTCCTGACTGGGGGATGGGGAGAGCGGGAAGAAAGGGAGAGAAGGAGAAATAAAGAAAACAAACAGAAAGCATGCTCAGGCTGTCAAATCATCTCTAGGTCCACATGACATTTCCAAAATTTTAAAAAGCAAGTTCTAAGTCTGTTGCTCAATACTGTCTACACCTGGGCAAAGCATCAGACCTCTCTGTTGATGGGGATGGAGATAGAGGAGAAGATGAGTGGATGTATGCAAGGAACAATTTTAGCCAACTGGGCCCATTACTTTGGAAACACATGAAGAATGAATTGCTGCCATGTCATACAAATATTAAGAGAAAAATAGCTGACAAAATCAACTTCCACTAAAATTATGCTCAGAGGGATTTGACTGAGAAGATGATTAAATGATAAAGTGTACTAAATAGCAGTACCTATTTATTTTAAGGCAGAAATCAGTTGGTGAGACTAAATCATCTACCCCAAATTTTATTTAAGATAAAAATAAAACAAAAGACTATGTGTTTTATAAAGCACCATGAAATCTCCAAGTGTGAAAATGGATCAAATGCATATATCTGCAGTTATCCAAACTCTAAATGCTGGAACTGAAAAAAAAAAAAAGCATACAGAGCAGGAAAGAAAGAGACCTGTGAACATGATCCCATTAAAAGCACACAGCACCGACCCTTCTGCGACCCACCACATCTGCACACAACTGCCTTGAGTTGTTGGCAAATCCTTTATCCCCAATGTGAAATATACAACATCCACGCTACGGCTCTACCGAGAATCTCAAGAACCCTACCTTGGATTTTCTTCTCTCTTGATTCTGAGCTGCCAGCCGCCTCTGTGTGTTAGAAACAAAATGAAATAAAAAAGAAAAAGAACAGTGAACAGACAAGCAAGAGAGAGAGAGAGAAAGAGAATGAGAAAGTGGAAAAGAAAAGGCATCACTACCAAATAGTAGAGAAATTAACAATACTGACCAGGCATTCCAATTACCAGGGAGAACCCCTGCCCTAGCTCCCAGCTTCCCCCAAAGTGTTAACTTTCAGTTATCTCTCTTTTCAGAAAAAAAAAAAAAATACAAGAGAGGAGAAAAGCTAGCCTTGATGTTTTTTGACCATTTTGTGATCTCAGACTTTACCAACTACTGGTACATAAAGAGTTAACACTTTCAAAGTTTAGTTCAAAGGAAATTGATACTTACACACCATTTCTAAGTACCCTTTGTATTCCCTCTACCAAATCTCTTTCCCCTATAAATCTTAGTATATTTAATTATAACACTTGTCCACTTCCTTCACTCACTGCCAGTCTTATACTTCCCCTATAGTGTTCTGACTCTGTTTGATAAAAAGATTTAAACCTTAACATGCCCATGAAAGGTCACCAGAGCTAAGTCTTTGACTTTTCTCAGTCAGCTGTGCATCAAATCTTCATATTTCCATAGAATTGCAAGCCCATTTTAAAAACTCAGCCCAAAGGTGCCTCTGGAGAGGCCCTGCAGGTATCGCTCAAAGTGGTCTAGCAACTGGTCCTGGGATGATGTGTGCAAATTCGATAATTAAATATGTTCCTTAGATACTTTTCGTTTCAAAAGACATTTTAGAGTATAGTTCAATCAAGAAAAAAAAATATTCATAATTGGGAAAGGAGAGGATTAGCATTAAATATTTCCTAACCATTTAACTTGTCAAACTCTTTTTAAAAAAGAAGAAACACATCTTCAAAGTATTTTAGAAAAGAAGGAAGAGAAAAAAGCACACAGTGGTATGAGAATCGGGGGTCTATCCAGGCTTACCTGCAATTCCAATTTCTCTTCTTCATCCAGACTTTCTGATTTCACTATGCCATTCTCTGGAGCGGCTGTCTCCTGCTCAGTCCTCCCTTCCTCCACTATCGCCTGGTTCAGGTCTCCTTGCTCAGACATTCTCCCAGATGCAAATTAAAATAACAAGGTTTGATGCCCTAGGAGGTTAAGATATCAGAAAACATCATCAGTGCAGCTAAAGTTTTGACTCTAATTGTTGACATATTTCTTTTCTCCCTTTGTATTCAAATTCATATGAACAACTCAGGCATCCCCATCAATTTTATATGAAAAAGAGGATAAAAAGAGATGAAATCAAGTACCCAATGCATACATAAGAGGCAGATGCGGTCACCCCATCCACACCCTTCTGCACACACGCAAGCACACTTGTGATATACCTTGCCATCAAAACAGATCCACTAAGCTTAGATGAAGACACATTAACTCCCACACAACTCCCAGTGCCCATGCCCTGCTACAAAGTGGAGGAAGAAAATGAGAATAGTTCTCTAACTCTTGAATAGCTGAACTTCAACTTCTGGGTCAAGAGGTGGGAATGATGTTCTGTAGCATCTCTACAATGACTCCAAGATCATTTTCAAGTTTCAACCACAGACACAACTTACCTAGTACAAAGAATATAGTATATTCAACAAGGGGCAAAAATCAACTGAAGAGGTAATAATTCAGTATAAATATGGGATCCAATTTTGGCAATAAACCTTTTAGGGTCAATATTTCCAGCCTTCAAACTGACAGCTACATTATTAAAAGCATAAGCCCTCTCCCAGGCTCCTGTCAGTTGCTGGTGCTGCAAGATCCTGCAGAGGAAGTCTGGCAGGCAGCTCTAATGAAGCTATCTCGACTCAACTCCGCTACTCCAGGCTCACAAGAGTCTAGTATACAGACACTGGAAATGGCTTTTCAAAGTTAAAGCCTGTTATTATTTTTTTTCCTCCCTACCTCCATAAAATCTCTGACACTTCCCCTTCTGATGTGCTGTCAGAGGAGGCTCATGAATAATTTAGCACTTACTTCCTCCTTATTTTTTTAAGCAATGAGAAAGGAAAAGAAAAGAAGAAAGGATGTAGGAAAAGAGGAAGGAAAAGTGAAGAGAGAGAAAGAGGCTATAACTGAGAAAGTTATTTTTTCTCATAAAAATTCCCAAGTAACGACTGTTCAGTGATAATTACTATTGGATGTTTCTTGGAGAGTGTTTAATTACCATTTACTAATTCAATGATTTCATTTCCAACTGGAAATAGGAAGCATAAGAAAAATCTATACCACAGCAATTTCTATTGCAAATTTGCTAAAATCTATCATGACAGAACAGATGGGATGTAATGATCTTTAAAATACACAGGCTCATTTTGGCAAAGGATTGTGGGAATGTAAAAGGAATAGTTTTCCTAAAGGACAGTGTTTTGAAGTCTTTAAGTGACTAATGATCAATGCTTTCAAGTTTGGGAAGGTTTTAGGATCCGGTGCATTCTGACAGATTTCTCATATCCTACTGGCACTCAGTATGTGTGGTTAACAAATTAAAAGTTCTGTTTCCCACTAGCAAACAGCTTGTTTCTCAGTGTATTGAGTAGGGGGGAGGAGAAAGAACTTTGGTTGCCTTAACTCATTTATCAGAACATTTCAGTAAAAAAGCAGATCATGACCAGATGTAAAATGGAGTGAACAAACTGAGCTCTAGTTTTCCAAACTGCAAGCCAAACAAGCCTCTGATATGGATCCCCGTCTACCTTGGTTACAGTCAGTGAAATGTTCCACACGAACAGGCACATTGGTGTCATAATAGTAAAATACAGATGAGGTGACAGTCAGAGAGGACCTTTACCTTTCACGCAGAATTCCTGCTGTAGGTCTTGGTGACTTACTAGCGGCTTCTGTCGTTCTACACCGGGAAAATCCACACAAGTAATCAGAGGCAACTGGCGTCCCATGTCCCCATTAACAGTTCAGAATGCCCATCTCCATGCGGTTCCCTTACACAGTTTGACGCATCATCGTCAACCTGAAAAAAGACGAAAAGTAAATAATAATAACTGCAATAATCATGGTAGGGTGAAGGACAAAATAAATAAGACTGGTTTTCTAACACTAATGACCAGCTTCCAGCAAATCACGTTCACAGCTTGATCCAGCTCCACCTGTCTCAAGCTGCCTGCTTCTTCTCTAATGAAGGCTACAGCCGGCTGTTCAAGTCAGAGCGGCACCCACGCAAGGAGCTAAAATTAACAATTGCATTATGCACTGAAGATTACTCACTTCAATTTTAACCTTTTTTAGTGAAATCTCGCACTTTGTGTTAAAAAAAAATAAAAAAAAAAAACAAGCTTGTGTGTTTGCCTCAATGAGAACCCAAATCACCTATGAGCAACAGCCTTGCCTCCTTTTTTAACCCAAGTCTTTGTCTTAATTATAAATTAATATGATATACTTTAATTCTGTTTCTGTGACTCTTTGTGAAAGTTACCTTAGTGAAGCAAATTTAAAGTTTCTGATTTAATGAAGCGTTGTCTATAAAGTTTGTTGTTTTTTTTAAAGTTAGGAAATAAAGAAAACTTTCCTAATGGGCATGGCTAAGAGAGCTCTTTTTACTCCACCTACAGTTCGAGAAGAATTCCTGATATCCCTGTTGCGTGGTGAAGAGTCTATCCACACCCCTCCCTCCCCATTAGGATTGCTCTACCAGCTGGGCATTCTGTTTGACAGCGAAGAAACACTGTCAGAAGGATTCAAAGATTTGCAAACTCCAAATCTGTTGAAAACAATACATGCTATAATGTGCACTTTCTTTTGCTCACAACTCCTACAGGAGCAACAGCAAAGACAGCTTGAATGCAAACATAGAAATGGGCTCCTAATAATGTTTGCCAAAACCAAGCCCTATCTCTTTCCTCTTGCTGTAAAACTACTTGTACACACCTGCTAACTGACAACAGCAGGCACACCTCTTCCAACTTATGCCCGTCTGTGAAAACCCTAACTGCCCCCCTTGCCATCCACCCTCCACCAGTTTAAATGAGCATGGCTGGTTCCTCACAGGACTTCACTGTGACTGTTCTAACAACACTCTGGGTTATGAAGCCAATTATTGTGCAAGAAGAAAACAACTGTTGAAAATACAATCACTTATAAAGGCAATAATTTCTGGATTTATTTATGCTTTATCAAGATGGGTAATTTGTCTTTAAAACATGCATCTTTTGTTCTTGGATATCATATAGCTATTGAAAGATAAGCAAACATGCAGTTAGAACAAAATGGATTGCTAGTCAACAGTAATTTGAATGTTTCAATTTTGACCAGCTGAATACTATAACTGACACTCAATATTAAATAGAAGTCACCGTGTCTTAAAATCAGGATCTATTAACTAACACACCCATCACCTAATTTTTCTTAGAAGACACATCAGCAATCAGTGGAATTACCAAATGCTTTTTGGATTCTGTTTTCCTTTTCCCAAGTCGAATGAAGTTATCAACAGTCATCGCCAACCCCTTTGCCTTCTCTTTCTGACTGTCATATTTGTACAGTGGCATTTAATCCAGCAGGTGAAGGGCAATGCAGTTTGAAATCTGAGCCTTAGATACATGATTCCAGCTTCAGTAGGAGGATGTAAGATATAATTCTCTCCACAAAGAAAGAACAAACTGATATTCACATAACTAACTCCAAGCGCTAACAGACTGGGTATATATGTGTGCGTAATTACCAGAAGAGGGTTTTGAAATAGCACTGAGCTCTAAAGTCAGCGAGGTATTATTCTTGCATGCCTGAATCATAAAGTCATCATCTACCGAGATAAAAGAGAATATGGGCATATGGGAGTGAGCAGAGAGGAACATATGGATCACAAATATTTTTGTAACTGATTAAAATTGTTCTCTTTGCTAAGAAAGCAGTGCCAGGAAACCAGCCCTACTCCTGCATTCTGTTCCCCAAACTAGCCCCACCCTTCCACAGCCATTTAATCTCCATTTGTTCCACGTTCTCTCATTTGCACAAAGGACCCGAACTATATTTAATAAATATGTTTCTGCAACATTTTGTTAATAGATACTCTGACCAAATTTTAATTTTTAGAGTTGGAAGGATGGAAAGGGGAGGAGCTGATATACAAATAAATACACAAAATAAAAGTTAGTGTAGTTCTCATCAATATCAATGTAATTTTAACCATAATTTGGGGGTTATTATTTGATAGAGGCCAAAAACGGTCCATAGGAAATTGATCAAAAATGCTAGTTGCTATTTACAATGAAGACAATAATTCCATATTATATTTATGCTGTTTTTATTTCCTTAGCTTGCTTTAGATTTGAAGATCACAACAATTAGGATTGTGGGGATAAGATAAAGAGGGAAAGAGGAGGAAGACCCAGTACAAAGCACCAAATATTCTGTCTTTACCACCAACAAACTGTGTCCTACTTTCGTGCATGTATCATATGTTAATCAGTGTGCTGCCGCGTAGGCAAAGCAAGATCAGGATTTGATTCAAATTCCAGCAGGGATTTAGTTCTCAGGGTGTATCTAAACCGGAAATTTAGGCTGAATTCTATTTGCAAGTTGTGAGAGTCAATTCATTAGTTACTTTCTACACAGTACTTACATTAAAACTTAACCCAGAGATGACTAATCTCATCCCAGATCAGAATAGATACTTTATAACAAAACCACACAGTCAGATCTACTTATATGGACAATTGAAATGTTTCTCTTATAGTTATATTTTCATCTTTTTTTAGCAGGTCACAGTTATACAAATGAAAACCACTTGCATATCACAGTTACAGTAGACAGTTTTCAATTTTTCACATAAAATACATAAACACTGCAGAACTGTATAAACCAGAATAGTACCCATTCTCAAAACAGTTACTCTGCTAACATTTTAAAAAGAATTTTCAACCTGTAAAGTTAAATTTAAAGAGAAGATATTGGAATGTAAACCTTTCAGAAATGAAAGCAACAATGAGTACACATTGATCATATCTTAGTAAGGTGTCCAAAAACATTAAGAAGAAATTTTCACATAAATTGATTTCCTAAAGAAAATTTTATCTTTCAATACATGCATGAAAAACACTCAACCATGAACTGTATCTTTAAATTAAACTCTTTTGGGTCAAACAAATACACAAATATTCCATAAGATTCTTGAGTCATCATGCAAATAATAAAATAATCAGAACACCATTTTGGAAGAAGAACCCAGAAGAAAAATTAAAAAATCAATTCTTCATTTAAGAAAACAAATTTGGGCTGGGCGTGTAGCTCAGTGGTAGGGTGCTTACTTACTTAGCATGCACAAGGCTTTGAGTTCTGTCCCCAGTACTCAAAAAAAAAAAAAAAAAAAAAAAGAATGTTAATATAAGATTTTAGGGGACTTAAATATATTACATAAATATTCTTGTTTAAGCTTAGTCAAAGAATTGGGCAGTTCAAAAACATAAAGTAGCTCATATGTAGAATTTCACCTTTTTTTTCTTTCATTGTAATAAACCTGAATAGAAAAATCACACAGGTCAATATTTAGCTGGATTATAACAATGACAAGAATGAATGCCAAAGCTTTGTACAAAACAGCAGTTTCATGATAATATGAATGCTTCAAAACTAAACAAGTCTAATGTCAATGAAAACATCTAAAGCAAAAAGGTCATGTGCCAGTGTTTCATTTCTTCATTCTTGTAACAAGTACAAAGATATTCTACAGTAAGACATGATATTCAGGTCAAATAACACAATTTCCCTTTGAAATTTTTTTCTTTCTTCCAAATATGACATGAATAAAAAATAAACAAATCAATATATGCTCCAAAAGATCAAGGCCAACAAATGATAGTACAAGAGGGAAAAGTGGTATTCTGCTTTACAAAATTTCCTCTGATATATGGATGACACATACACATACAAACTAGTTCTATGCCCTGGTTAGTACTTGACTGTACAGGTACCCAATAAGTTATATCATCTTCTTAGCAGCCTTGTCTTTGATAAATAAGCTTTGCTAATTATCCATATAATGTGGACCCCACAAGATCAAAGAGATTAGGTAGGGGAAATAAAATGTTCAGAGAACATTTGCACCTCAATTGGAGTCAATGCACATGGGGCCAATGTGCCTCACCAAAAGAGGGTAATAAACACTATCAACTCTATACATTGTTTGTCCATAGCCTACTCTTGACATAGTTGAAGGCAGTGCAAATATCAGGCTATCATTAATCTGGGCAAGATAGCTAGATGGAATGGAGCACCTGATTGGTAGCATATGAGTGACTTGCCCATCTTTTGGTATATTTTTTATTGCAAACAAAAAAAATGACCAAAGTCAAAGACACAGAGACTGGGGTCAATGGTCTCCTAATGCCATATTATAAAGTAAGCCCCAACTATCTCTGACTGCACTGAGGCTGATGCTGATTTTAGTTTGACTGAATAACCACTGGTACTTGTCCAAGGATTTTCAAATGGCCTCAACTTTCATAATTCATGCATTCTAACACTACTTTACATTTCCATCCTCACTCTATTAAAGTCCAGCCATGATCTATCCAAATGTGGGGTGTTGTCATCAACCTCTGACCAGGTATGAACTTTAAAAAAGAGTGAAAGTACACACAGAACCACAGAGGTACAAAGAACCTTCAGACCAGCTAGTGTAGCTGACATCAAATACAGTGATTTGAACAAGATCCACCACCCTATAGTGGCAGATTTGGGTCAAATACACAATCATTTTGATTGAAGGTCAGAGCTCTTTTCACAAATTCTTATCCTTTAATGATGCCTCTACTAGTAATCTAGACCATATTTTCCTACTAGAAACAATTAATTTTCAAGATGTTGCAAGAGAGATCCACACATTTATTTTCACCCGATCACTATCTTCTTTCCCTGAGAATCAGCTCACAAACACGGAACAGAAACAGATATGAGCATATCTTTTAATAATAGCATGTGTGTTTCTTCCCTATTTTTATCCCCAAAATTTCATGG